ATCACAGGGACACATGGACAGGTCTCCAGTCCATCACAGGGACACATAGAGACAAACAACCATTCACTCTCTCTCTCATTTTGGGACAAATTAGAGTTACCAATCAGCCTAACATGCATGTTTTTGGTCTGTGGGAGGAAACCGAAGTACCCGGAGAAAACCCACGCATGCACGGAGAGAACATGCAAACTGCACCCAGAAAGGCCCCCGGACCGGGATTTGAACCGGGAACCTGCTCACTGAGACGCAGCAGCTCTACCAGTTGCGCCACCGTGCTATAAATAAAAATCAAAAGTCCATTTCCTGTTTTCTTCTTTCATTTCAGCCAACCTGACGGGTCACGTTGAGCGGGTTGGCATTACAAACTTTGAGCTGTTGAAGGTGTTGGGCACAGGAGGTGAGTACGAGCTTACCCTCAGACTGTTCTCACACATGCAGAGAAGGTGGTGTGTGTTGTTGTTGTTGTTGTTGTGTTGTTGTTAGTTAGTTGTTCACACCGAACCACCTGTTTGGTTTAAATGACACTTTCGTAGAATCACAAAGGCTCTTTCACAGGGCACCTCAAGCCAGGACTTTGACGCCTTCTTACCGCCTCGGTGTGATTTCTGAATGGACCGAGGCGGCGAGGGGTGTCACAGCCTTCTCACCATGATGCACCTTTGTGCTGCGAGGTAGTAGCAGAGCTGAAACAGGCAACATGTGAAAAGGTCACCCTGCTTTACAGCTCAGTAATGAGATGAAGTTATGACATGTGGTCTGTGTGACCACTCGGTCATTTTCCATTTAGTTAAAAAATGTTGCTTAGCAACAAATTAAACCTCTAAATTGAATTCATTTTTCATGTTTTAAAAATAATATGAGTGAGACGTCTGTCGCACATTGAAAGCATTGTGCTCCCTGTCAATGTAGTCGATTTGTACCCTGAAAAAAGGATTCACATCCCTTGAACTTTGAATTTGAACATTTCAATTAGAGCCTGACCGATATATCAGTAGGGCCGATAATTTAGGTCGTTATAAACATTGGGGATGTATCAGTATCTGTGATAACTGTCCCATTATGTGCTGATATAAGCACTTCTAATTTTCACCCCTAAAATGCTGGAACCAGCTGCAATTGTTCAATGTATCCAGCAGAGGGCGCATGAAGACTTCAAGTCATGACCGTTCACTTAAGTTTCGGTTTCAGCACAGATGAAGCAGAGAGCAACACTGTGTATTTTACTGAACAGAGCATGGTGAGTTTATTTGAACTGATCTGTAAAATAAATCAACAATAATAAATTCTCTTCAATCCTCCATCCTGCTTGTCTTTAGCTACGTGCCTCTCAAGTTAGCATAGTCTTATAAAACTTTATCCAGAACAATAAATCTAACGTAGAGGTAGAATATATCAGCGTTAGTAACGTTATCTTTGTCGTCCTCAATAAAATGAATTGTTTGTCTGAAATCTTTTCTGCAAAGAAAAACAAACTCTTCTGCGGTCAGTACTAATCAGACCTTCATCATACGTGACTGACCGTTAATAAACAGGAAGAGCGTTTCTTTGTTTAATTTATATTTTTGTAACACACTTCATCTGATTAGCTTAGCTTCATGGTTGCTAACAGCTGTTCTAAATAAACAAGTCCCGCCCCACTCACTGTTTTCTTAGATTATTGGGGGTGAACAAAGATCAAACCTTTTCAGCCATGCGGTGCCTGCCCCCCCCCCCCCCCCCAGTATTACCGATAGGCAAAATTTCCATATCAGTTGGGCTCTAATTTCAAAACGTATTAATATCATTGTCATATCTACAATGGAATGTTAAAATGTGCCATCCTGTCCATGCATCATTTATAAAAATCAGCAATAAAACAACATTAACTTTCTCCCATTTTATTATGTAACAGCCCCAAACTTCAAGATGTTCTACTTTATGTTAAATACAAACACAAAGTAGTACTCCGCTGAAATGGAAAATATATATTTTACAAAAACAAGCACCTGAAGAGTTTGGCCCGTGTTTGTATTCATCCGTCCTGAGTCAGTACTTTGCACAACCTCCTTTTCCTGCAGTTCCAACTGTAAAACTTTTGGAGTTTGTCTTCAGCAGCTTTGCACATGTAGAAACTGAAACTTTTGCTCATTCTTTGCAAAGTAGCTGCAGCTCAGACAGATTGAAGTGGGAGTGTCTTCACACACTATTTTTAGTTCTTGCTACAGATTCAGGTCTGAACTTTGGGCCATTCTAACATAAATACGTTCTGTGATGAGTCCTCCTGTCGTAGCTCCGGCTGGATGCTTCAGGTTGTTGTCCTGCTGGACGGTGAACCTCCAGCCCAGACTCGTCTTTTACAGCCTCCAACAGATTCTCTGTCCTCCATAGTTTCATCCTCCTTCACACCAACTCTCTCTGCTGAAAAAATGCATCCCCTCTGCATAATGCTGCCACTACCATGCTTCACAGTGGGGATGTTTGTTCAGGATGATAGTGTTAGTTTTCTGCCACAGTGTTTTACATTTAGGCCAGAAAGTTTAGTTTTAGTGTGATATGATCAGAACGGCTTCTTTCACGTCTCCTGTGTGGCGTCTGAAGGTGACTGGCTGCAGGATTTTAGTTTGGGGGATCAGAGTGAAGGGGACGAAACACAAAGTCAAGTAATACTTTTCTGATAGTGAAAACATGATTTCCTTACACCTATGTATTATTTTGTGTTGGTCTGTCTCATTAAATCCTGCAAAAAGTACTTGGATGTTTGTGGTCGAGGCCTGAGAAACGTGGAAAAAGTTTAAAAATGCTGAATGCAGTTGTGCAGTTTTTGATGTGCAAAGCAAGAAAATTCAAAGAAGGAACGAGCGAACAGCCTTGTGTAAATAGGGAGTTTCTTTTCAGAACAAACAACGACATTCAGCAAATATTTAACCTATTTCTGCACCTGAGATTGTGTGTGTGTGTGTGTGTGTGTGTGTGTAAGCATCTCATCCAAAAGATTGTCTGAACTGAACGTTGCCCTCTCTTGCTGTTTCTTGTAAACCGACAGCGTATGGAAAAGTGTTCCTGGTGAGGAAAGTGAGTGGCCACGACACGGGGCACCTGTACGCCATGAAAGTTCTGAAGAAGGCCACGATTGTGCAAAAAGCAAAGACTGCAGAACACACGCGCACGGAGCGGCAAGTGCTGGAGCACATCCGCCAGTCACCCTTCCTTGTAACGCTTCACTATGCCTTCCAGACTGATACCAAGCTGCACCTAATTCTTGGTTAGGACGTGCAATGATGAGCTGTCTGTAACGTTTTATAACTTCCCCTTTCTGTGCTGAAACTACATTTTCACCAGTTCTACTAAAATGACTAATGTACTGCAGTTAAAAAACCAGTGTGTCTTTCATGTGTAGGGAAAATGAAAACGTCTTTGTCCTCAGATTATGTCAACGGCGGGGAACTCTTCACACATCTGGTGCAGAGGGTGCGCTTCAAGGAGCAGGAAGTGGCCATTTACTGCGGAGAAATCGTCTTGGCACTGGAACATCTGCACAAGGTACCCTACAGGTTTGGGCCCAGTGTCCTGCTGCTGTGGAAGTGTTTTCTCTTCATGCTGTGTTGTGTTGCCTCGTTGCAGCTTGGAGTTGTTTACCGGGACCTAAAGCTGGAGAATATTTTACTGGATTCCAGTGGTCATATAGTTCTCACAGACTTTGGCATGAGTAAAGAATTTGATCAGGTAAAGTTTGTTTCAGAAAGTTTAAATTTATTCTGTTTTAAATCTAACAAAAGCCAAAGTTTTTATTTTCCTGACCAAAACTGACTCTTCTTATAATGGGAGTTAGTTTTTCTTTAGTTCTCTCTTCTGCAATAAATGGTTCTTAACTTGAGAGAAATTATTCATTTTATCTGATTTTTTTATTTATTTTCTAATTTAAATTATGTTTATGTGAATTTAGCCACATTTTACTACATCATCATTTGGCGTACAGGCGTTCTGCAACCTGTACAACTTGGAAAATAACTCCAGCTAAATAAAATGTACAAAGAGCCACACAATTACCCCTAAAGTTAATAAAACATTTTATTAAGTGTTCTTATTTTATCTGTTATATTATCTGATATATGTTGTATCGTGGCATTTGTTTTTTAAAGTATTAGGTGGAAAGAAAGAACTAATTGTATTTTAAAACGATTGTCAAGTCTTTTTACCCCTGCTGAAGCAAATACAACTTGATTTATTTCACACAAACATCATTTTAGTGTAGATATACTTCCTATTTTACCCATCTGTGAGAAATGAATAAACTAAGTAGCTCACTGAGTAAAATAAAGTTTAAAGTTGCTTCTGCAGTAAATGTGTCAGAAATAATTAACATGAGAAATCAACCAGTTTGTTCGTTATTTAAGAATAATGGGCCACAGTCATCCTTTAACTGAGTGTACATAACTCTGTTTCTCACATAATCAGGAGTTTATTATTCATTTGTGTAAGAATAACTTGCCGTACGTTAACGGGGCCGACATGGTGTAGAGCAGGCCTATTCAACTGAAGGCCCGGGGGCCAAATCAGGCCCACGGATGAACTCAGTTGGGCCCTCCAATGGGTTCATTTTAAATAAAACTAGATTTTAAACCATAAAATAAACTTCCTTAATGACAGTAACTGCTGGATGTCCGGCCCCTGAGCGCTTAGCTTTCAGTAACTGACCCCCTGAGCAGTTTAGATGAATAGCTCTGGTGTAGAGGTAGGGCAGCTGACTTGGGACCAGAAAGTCCTTGAGCAAGACACCCAATCCCTAATTGCTCCCCGGGTGCTTGCATAGCTGCCCACTGCTCCACCTGGGTGTCTCCCAGGTGTGATGGGTTAAATGCAGAGAACTAATTTCACCAGAGTATAAAACACACAACGATGATGACAACAGCACTTTACTTTTCTAATGCGTCTGTTTTTGATGCCGTAAAATCTAGTCTTTTTCAGCAGATGTGCAAATGTCCTTTTTACTTTTACAGGAATTTGTCTCAAGCAGGTTGAAAAATGTCAGTTTTCTGGTGGATTTGGAGAACAATCATGTCTTGAACAAAGCAGGGAGGAATCTAAATGTTGTGGTACTGAAATGATGCAAAGCCGTCTGCGCAATTTAGAAACTCCACACAGAAACAGCTCAAATGTGGCTGAGAAAACAGCTAAAACAGCTCAAATGT